TTCCCCACCATGCTCCTCTGTAGCACAATGCATTGTGTGTATGCTGGAAAACCTGCAGTCTGATTTTTATAAATGACTCTATTCTGCATTAAAAGGAGTGATGAGTAAGAGGTATCAGGTTTGATTCCTTCACTGATTCCGGATGAATATACATTTTCACTGTTTTTCCTCAATATGTGCTTTCATTATTTCATTTCAATGCATTGCTTTGCCCATGAATGCTCACCTGGCAAAGAGACGTGTAAAATGTTCTATAGATTTCCAGGTCTACAGGTCGAAGAACGTTAAATTCTTTTATTCTTTTCCACAGCTGCAAATAATATGAGTGCTTTGAACTAGTTTAAGAAAATTACATTTACAAACCAATAAGCATAAAGAGTAAGCAATCACTAAATTCTGTAGATAATTTCCTTTTGAAACTAAAAGGTTTACTTACTTGGATGTCGAGTTCAAAACAAACTGTGCCAAGAGCATTTAATGAGGTCACAGACAGCATTTAAATAAATGTAGCCATAAGTTCAATAAACAAATAACTGGGCTGAGTAGCAGAATATGAACACAGGCCAACTTACCAATTTGTTAAACACCAGTTCAGTTAGGTAATAGATGAATGTAGTAATGAAAACAACACTGCTAGAATAGTCTAAGAGCCAAAGGAAAAAAATTTTGGCTGTGTTTCTATCTCAGAACCAACTGTCAAACAGAGGTAAAAGAAAGCAGGAAATTACAGTTCTTCACCCAGACCTGGCACATTTACTTTGGGAATGGGGGAGATTCACTAACCACCTATAATACTGCATTATTCATGAAATTGGTCTTTGAATTTAATTGGACCTAGAGAATAAAACCATAGGAAAGAAAAAGGGTCTCTGAATGTTTAGGGAATGTTTATTCTATTGAGGAATATTTATTCTACTGAGGATCACTGATCTTTAGTTAAAATAAGCAAAGAGGAGCCCACTAAGTTATGAAATCTTTAAAAGACTGAGTCTTATTTAATCTCTGTCCCTAGGACATAGTTAATGACCTGGAGATGTTTGCGGATTGATTGTAAATAAAACAAATGCAAAACAGTTTCTAATGAAATAAAGAGAAAATATTCTATTTGTTTTTAAAATTTAGAATAGGTAACACATCTGTATTCAAGGAAAACAACACTTGTAAAAATGTTGGCTCCTCTTTAGGATGAGCTGGAAGGGAGAAAGAGGAGGATAAATTTTAAAGGGATATTAGACAGAAGGGAGACAGTCTTACAGAGAAAGAGAAGAAAAGAGAAGGCAGATTCAGAGAGGGAAGACATCTCAGGATGGAGGTGAAGTCCAGACAAAGACACACAAAGGGCAACTTCCTCAGAAGATAGGGCAGAAGGAGGTGAGAAGAGAGAGGCTATGGAGATGGGGAGGAGAAGGCACTGGGGCTGGGAGTATGAGGGAATTCTTGCATGGACTACCCCTGGAAAGAGCATGTCCTCAACAGCAGTTAAATAGTCCTTTATGTGCTGGAAAAAGAGCTTTTCTGCTTTATTTTCAACTTTCAAAGTTTATTTCTGAAATCAAATTTTATACTCCCAAGAAATTCTAAATACATTGCTCATGTCTGAAAGCGGTCTAATTTCAGAGGATGATTTTTTTCTTTAATTTAAGGAATCATTTTTTTCACATGCAAAACCCACCGAATCACTTTATTTGGTGCTCTGAAATTATAGCTGCCATATTCCACAGTTTAAAATCATCATTTATTTCATTGTTAGGAGTCTTAAAAGATAAACCTCAAGTTTTCATTTGGTTTGTTTGCAGGCTAACTGGAAAAATAGATACATAGAATAAAGGACATATAGAAAAACAAATATAGGGTAATATTTTTGATTGGATACAATCTTAAAATTAGGAAGCAGACATACTCTCAAAATTCTTTATATTCCTTATTTTTAACAAAGAAAAATATCCCTTCATTTCCTATTCTCCAAAGTAAAGAGGATTAGATATCATTTTAGAGAGGTTTTTTTTTTTAACTGTCATGGAAGAAAATTCCACTATTGTGTTCTATTAGATTAATAACATAATGCTCTAAAGCAATTTTCTTTTCTTTTCAAACCAGAAGCTCCCAGTTCCATTAGAGTCTGCTCCTAATTTACCTGACTCCCTTTTCTTCAGGCTCCCTGAGACAAGAAGGAATGCACTGATGGGGTCCTCTGAGGTGCTCCCGCCACTTATTTAGCCCTTAAATGACTGCATAGTACCCCCAGGACTGGGTCTCCTCCCCGGAAGACCGTTTCCCATGCATTCATCCTAGCTGTTATTTTTGATATTTACCCAGAGGTGTGCATGAATTACTTCACTAGAAGTGTTTCTTTTGCCAAAGGGGAAGTTCCTGTGTGTGGTTATTGATGTTCTTTTCAAAGTCAATAAATGACAAATAAAGAAATGATGGAAGATGATTTGTGGCAGTTACGCCTGCAGGCAGCTACAGCCCACAAAAAAGGGAAGTTCATTTCACTATTTCAAAAGGCTGTAGGCTTAGTTTTCCACAAATGGGAAGGGAAGGCGACTGCTTGGTGTCAGCCCCGAGGTTAAATGGATAAGCAGTTTCCTGGCTTTGGCCTCAGCTTAAATTTTACTTCTCTGGGTGTGAGGCCAGTGGTTTTATTCACTTGGGAGTAGACTGCTTTGAATCTGTGAGAGGTGGGCATTTGATGGTGACACTGTTGGGCACATTTTGCAGGTTCGTTTTTTTTCTGTTCCTATTTGTAGTGATAGATCACTGGCTTTAAAACCACCACAGTCACTGGAAAATCATCAAGATAACCAAGATGGCTTGAGAACCGGTCTAAAAACCCCTTTCTTACCAAGATGTGGATTCCCTGGGGGGAAATGCTAGATTCTAGAGCTCTGCATCTGGTCCACTGGCCCCAGAAGATACTTGTGTGTTAGCCTGTTTTATTAAAACTATTTTCAGGTGGGAAAGTGTGTTCAAATGTACAGGAACTATAATTTCCTGTTTTAATATTTTTTTCTTCTGAGCCTTTCAATAAACTGGGGACAGCTGGAGATGAATGCTGAGTCCTTTCAACGTAGCATCATCAAATGCAAGTTCATACTTACTCTGGATGGTCTTGCTGTTGGGCAGGGATGTGCTGAATAACTTCGTAAATTGTACTGTGCAAATCTTGCCCTGGTACACCATCAGAGGCTGGAACAGATCTCGTTGGCATCTAGAAAATGTGGCACGTTAAAAAAATTGGCAGACTAGTAAATAGTATTCCCACCTCGTTGCATAGTTGAAAACAACTGGAAGAGGTGAAGATTAGAAAATTAGAACTATTTAACTTCCCTTCAATATCCATTTCCTCCTTGCTACAGTTCCCTGCACTGACCCTATGGTACTTTGTTCAGTGGCATAGCTATGAGGTCAGAGAGGGACAGCTGGACAAACTATCACTTTTTTTCTCCATTTAAGAAAAAAAGCTGGGCTTCCCTGGTGGCGCAGTGGTTGACAGTCCGCCTGCCGATGCACAGGATGCGGGTTCGCGCCCCGGTCCTGGAGGATCCCACGTGCCGGGGAGCGGCTGGGCCTGTGAGCCATGGCCGCTGGGCCTGCCCGTCTGGAAACGGGAGAGGCCACAGCGGTGGGAGGCCCGTGTACCGCAAAAAAAAAAGAAAAGAAAAGAAAAGAAAAGAAAAAAGCTGGCAGTACTGTAAAGGAAATACAGTAGAAAAAAATAGCAAAAGAGAAGATATCAGGATAGCTTAGAATCAAAGAGCATATATTACTATCCTTTATATTACATCTCAGTCTTACTTTTCTGACACTAATCGCCAATCATGTGTGCAAGGGTGGTTTAGAAAAAAAGGATAACTTACAGCCAGAAGCCTTCATCACATTGCAAGTTAGTAAAGACAGTACCAAGAAATACAGAACACACAAAAGAAGAGGTTTTGGTTTGAATGCAGTAATGGGCTCTAAAATGTAAGGCTTGGATGAATGTGGAAAGTACAGTAGTGTATGTCTGTCTGGTTAAAATCAACATGTATTTTATTGAAGTTGGCATTCATGTTGCATTAACTCCTATTCCTTATATTTGATACTGTTATTCTTGTAAACACTGTTTTCCAATTACTTAGCTAAAGTCTGGTTCCCCTCCTCCTCCCAAACTTGTTCTATTTTCATCGTACTTCTGGCCACTTTCAGTCCTTTATATTTATACAGATCCACCTAGAGGACTCTTTGCCCTTGATAAATCATCTGAAGAGTTCTTTATCTCATTTGACCTGCTAGGTTACTTTGGAATATCTTAGCTTTAGATTTTTCTGGAAACTGCCTGTTTCTATTCTACTTGTTAAGGCTCTCATGGCAGTCCTAGGCTATTCATCCTAGGACTGAATAGGTGATTCATCCTATCATTTTTGTGTCAAGGGGATTTTGGTTTAGAGTTTTTACTCAAGATCAACTCTTGATTTTCTTTGGTATAGAGGTGTTCAGGGGCTATGATAAAAGCAGTCTATAGATAATGACTAATTACTCAACTAACCTAATATTAGACCTGTTAGAAAGTAATAAATTTGTTCATTTCATGCCATTGCTTTCTGTCCAATTCCCCAAAAGAAGTGCTAAATGGGCAATGAAATGTACAGTAAGTAGAGACGAGTACACATCTGTACATGTATCACGACAAGCTCAAAGATGATTCTGACTTTTAAAAACTCAAAAAGTTAGCAATCAGTTTATTTTCCTTAACTTCAATTTTGAGATCTTGGTAATGTTATTATTATTCCTTTTCTTCTCAAAACCGTTGCATTTAGCTGTTAATCTTCACACATAACTGCCATTCTGGCTGCTTCTCACACAGATCCTCCTACTCATGTCCGGGTCCATCTGCTCCTTGGGTTGTTGGTGTTGGTTTCTCACTTCTTCCCAAAGCACCTGGAACTGCCAATGAAGGACCTCAGCTGATTCCTCAGGAGTTTTCAGCGTTGAAGATGGGCATAGTTCCAAGTCGAGTTATTCTACTTACGACAGATATAAGCGGGGCTTCTGATACATAATCAAGCACTCATTTCTCTGCCTCAGTTTCTTTAGAACTGTAGTATTTTGAGCAAATAGAGGTCCTCTCAATAAAATCTTGAAACTGGGTACTGATTAATTGCAAGGCTAAATTTAAAGTTTCCTACATAGATCTCACTCCTTTCCAATGCATTCCTAGGAATAAAAACTGACTTCAAAATTCACTTTTAAGTCTTATTAGCTCTGCAGTTTCCTGCTTTCCCATTTAAAAGCCACACCTGAGAGGGGTGCTTTCTGCCATGGTGAGGAGCTGTTTGAAATAACTGATCCACCAAATATTTATTTTTGTCTTTTTGGTTGTAGCAGTGAAGGGTGAGCCAATCCTGCCTGAGACTGAATAGGACATTGCGAAGCTTTTGCAATGCAGTTTTTCTCTTCATCTGTGATGATGTGGGCACTGGTGCTATGACTCACCCATAGGAGGATGAAATCCAATCAATCCCCCTCCATTACTCACGTGGCATTTGAGAACTAAAGCCTGTGGCCAGGTAACTTACTGCTTGAACCTTAGAATCTTATATAGAATTCTCTGAACAAGTGAGGTAACCAATCCCTAACAACAAATATTGATAGTTCTCTTTTAAAAAGGAAATGAAAATGCCCAGAGGCAAGTAGTCCGTCTCTGGCCCCTTCCTTAAGTGAACTATCACAGGGGAATAAGGAAACAGAGGAAAGATCGGTTGTACATAAAGCTGTAAAAATGTTAATGAGCTGATTAGCTCAGAGAAACATTCTGCTTGCCTGTTAAACAAAACTGATTGCTTAAAAGACCTTGTCTGTGTGGACTGAAAAAAATGGCTTCAACTGTATAAAAGTTCCCGCTCTCACATCTCATGCACCTTTAGGAAAAAATAAAGATACGTACCTGCATACTTTGGGTTTATATGGTACCTTTCTTCTGAAGAGCATAAGGTACCTTCAAGGGTATAATCAATTGTCTTTGTAATGTCCTCATGAGATATGAGGAGGAAATAAAGGGGAAACTGAGCAACAGAGAGAGTCAGTGAAGTGACAGGCTGCAGTCATCAAAGTGATGCAGAATTATTTAAACCAGGATCTCTTGGTCCCCTATTTATTCACTTCTCTTGACCTTCAACCTAGTTAATGCTCTCTTCCCTGAGTTTACCAGGTAAAGAATGTTTATGAATTCATGTAACTTCCTTATTTGTGTTAGCTTTATTGATAGAGGCTGAGAAAGATGCTTTAGCTCCCCAGATCCGGCAATGTCATTCATTACAGAGTGAGTAAACACTGCTGAGGGTAATGCAGCCATTTGACCACACTGCCCTTATGCTTAAATGAATGCTGCTTACACCTCTGGTGAAGCAGAATGCTACTTCTGGGCTAATTGGCCACTAGGAAAACCAACCCTGGGAACACCAGAAGCATCTGGAAAAGCAACAAATTCATATATTCCAAAGTCATCCAGAGCATCTTCGTGGCCTGAAATGGAAAACAAATACTACTTACAAACCAAATGCCTCAAATTGCTATTGCTATTTTTTAGAAAAACCTTTATAAAACTTATCTTCATGGTTTGCTTCAAGTGGTGTGTGTATAAAACCAATTTAACATTTCTTAATCCCCTATAGTCATGCTGCCACTAAATAGTATTGGAAATCACTCCTGTTGAAGCTCAGAATTGAAACTGAATTGGGACAATTATTCTTAAAGTCTGATGTGGAAACAGTGTATTATATATTAATACACTGTTAATATATATATATTATATATATATATATATATATATAATATAAACATATGTAGGCAGCCTTGTCCTTTGTAACTCTCAGTTACCAGACACTTATAAACACCAAGGCTTCAATCTGTCAATCACAGCAGCTCTTAATCCACCCATAATACCTACTGTACTCTGCTAGATCTAACAGAGTCCACCAGGACTAATAAGAATAAATAAGCAACTATTGCTGCCCATACATACAAAGCAGAAAACAAGTCCAACGTCACCTAAACTATCATCAGTAAAATGACAGGAATGGGGTGGTTGGGAGGAACCAGGTGGTCTCTGGGGCCTTTCTGAACTCTGACGGTTTATCATTTGTGAGAAAGGACTAGACAAGAGGAAGAAGACCCATGTTTACTGAGCATCCAGGCATTGTATTAGGCACTCCACTTACATTACTGGATTTAATTCTCAGAACAACCCTGAGGGGAAGTTATGATCTCTATTGTATAGATGAGTTGAGGTCAGGAAAAATAATTAATTTTCCCAAGGTGACATTGGGGGAAAGTGGCACAGATGGGATAGAAATCCAGCTCCTCTGACTCCAAGGCCTGAGCAAAAGCCCCACTGTTAACTTATAACAACTCAGTAGGGAGTCAGAAGTGAGGGGCACCGCTGGGGACAGAGAAGCAGCAAACCTGTGGGACCTCCCTTTCCTCTTCTCCCTGGGAAGGAGCTGCCAGCACTGTATCTGCTTTAGGAACTGACACAGTGAGAGAACCCTTGGGCATTTTCAAAATAGTAAGAGGATCAATGGAACAGGATTCAGCAGAACTCAGTGATGGCGGGCAAGTGACAGTCTCTCTGAGCCTTAGTTCTCTTGCCTGTGAAATGGAGTTGAAAGTGCCTTTCAGGCTTATCTTACAGACCTGTGTGACTTACATAAAACTAATACAAGGGATAGAACTTTGTGAAGTGAGGGCAGTCATCCTGGGAAGGGAGTGTTAGTGTTATCTCATGTGAATTCTGTTATGTAAATAGTACATTTTACATATATAATTAATATCAACAATATATATTAATATGCATTAATATTGATAACGGCCCCTCTCAGCCCAGCCATTACCTGAAAACGTTTGAGCTTTCCTGTATTCGGTCTCTGGCCTGAAAAGACAAATTGGTGCTTCGGTCAGTCTTAATCATTGAGGAAAAAGCATTCAAGAGAAAAATTATTTTCATAGAAACATATGCATTACCTGCCTTCTAGCTTTTGCTTTATAACTAAAACCAAAAAAGAAAAAACATAGTAAGATACACTTTGGTGCACATATAAAACCATTCAAAAAATTTTTTTTTAAATTTTAACCTACCTTTGTAGGGTTGATATTTTTTCCATAGGAGGAGAAGACACATGGATATAATCAAAAAGAGTGATATTCCAGTTATACTTGCTAAAGGGGACAATGATTTCCCTTTTTGCGCAAGTTTCTCTATTCCTAAATAAAAAGACAAATATATTTTTATTAAAGATCAATAATAAATTGATCCTAAATAAATAAATCCTAAACGGTACAGTACTGCAAATGTACTGCCTATATATATATATATATATATATGAGAGAGAGAGAGAGAGAGAGAGAGAAGTCTGAGTGAGACCAAACAGAAGGCAGGCACTTATTTTAGAATACATACTAAACTCTCTAAGGATATTTGTGATTGGAAATGTGGTGAGCTGTCCAGGACAATACCAATATGTTGTACTAGATGTAGCAAATAGCTCATGTCATACTTTTCAATAGTGTTCACCAGCATTTAGCTTGGATCTGTTGGATCTCATTGTATAAAACATCCCCAGATGCTAGGTTGTTCTCTATCTCTCTTTCCATCTCACTCTTTTAACATTGTTCAGGTATGTGGATTTTCTAGGGCAGTGGTATGTAGTTAAAGGTGTGAGAGGGGAGGTGTTCATTTCAAATAATTACTAATTTTTGACGAATAAAGAAACTTTAATCCCTAAAATAGAATGTGTGTGTGATTGTCAATAAGACATTTAAAGTCCCACCTTTGACCACAATTCACTGTGTTTTGCAAGTCATTCCTTTTGTTAATATTTCTATATAAAATATAGTGCTAAAAGCTAACATTTGCTGAGTGCTTATAATACATCAGACTCTGTTCTAAGGGCACATGATACGTATTAACCCATGGAATGTTCACAACAATGTTATTAGGGAGGTAATATTATTATTATTATCCTCTCTTAGAGATGGGAATCTGAGACTTGCCTGAGGTCACTCAGGTAGTAAGTGGCAGAGTCCAGATGTACCCCCAGACTCTTGACACTTTGTGCTGCCTCACTTTGATGCTGTTTTGACAAAACTTGCTAAGTATGGCAATGTTAACACCAGTTCCAGACTATAACATGCTTAGTCAGAGAGTTAATCTATAAAGTGGAAAGTTGTGTGGCCTCCAACAAAAGCAAGTTAACATATGTCTTCCATGTTATCATGTGAATCAGACATTGATGTGGAAATGAATGGTGGCAGTTGCCTGTCTCTGTCCAGTTTAACGTGGGAGTGAAAGTTATGGGATGTCACTTCCCTTCTGCCGTGGTGAACAGCTTGGAGCATCTGGGTGTGGTGAAGAACATGGTGCGGACTCAACTCTACAATAAATATCCAGCCTGCACTGTGTTGTCTTCCACCACAAAGCCTCTACTGAGGTCTCCAGCAGCCAAGATAAGGATAAAACCTTAATCTTTCCCTTCTTTCATTATGGACCTATATGTACTCTCTCAGCTTTTCTACCTACAACGCTTTCACTTTTTAATCTTCCCAGAATCTTTTCATAATGTAGTGTAGATCATATATGTTAAACTCCAGTTAAAAAGTCATGGAAATCATGCTATCTCCTCTAATTTTCCCATGTAATGCTGTTCTTGTATTCCCTTTAAGTCCTTAAGAGTTTAAGCAGGTTGCTTTTCATCACCAAAAATCTTTACCATCTCAGATGGTATATTTATAAATTTCTGATATGCATTCAGAGAATTGTGTTCTTAAAATGTTCTTTTTATGGGATTACAATAGCTGTGTAATATTTATTGCTTTTAAACAGATTTTAAGGTAAACTCCTTTTAGCTTTGGGTGGAAGAAATAAATGCAAGGTAGTATAAAATGGACTAGAATGGCAATTTATTGGTTCTGATCTAGACCAGGACATCACAAAACTTATTAGAAATGTTATTTTTCCTCCTTTTCTCTTGGTTAATAATTTGTAGGAAAAGTTATATTCTCCCACTGTTAGAATGCTGAGCTTTTAGTTTGTAACTACTTTAGCATTTGGGTGATCTCTGTGTGCGGTCTTAGCCTTTCTTCAGATATGTGCTCCTACTTCACAGGTTTGTTCTCTCTAAAGAGCTGGGCAGCTTTGAATGAGCCACTTGACTCTAAGGGTCTGGATTTTCCCAGTAGTAAAACAAGGAGGCTAGAATGATTGGTTTTTAAGTTCTTTTGTTGCTCAGATATTATATGATTTGAGGCAGCCAAAGAGTTTTACATGAAGTTTATGTAAATAGGACACTATACCCAATGGTATGCTAGTAACTGAGTATCAAAAAGAATTATATGCACATATATACATACAAAAGTTATAAATTTTACTGATATGAAGGATGTGTAGCCTAATTTAGAATTAATAATAAAATATGCAGTACTCTTTATTGTTAATTCCATATATCTAATTGATTCTCATGGAATGCTTTTGTTGATTTTTGCTGAACTCTTGCATTTTCAACCTGTGGGTGAGATTCAACCATGCTTTGAAACAATTATACTTCAAATAAATGCTTGGTTACTATCCAATTCAGCAAAGAGATAGCTTACATCATAGATGAACAAGTGTAGCTTCAACACGAATGCTGGCTGATATTTACTAAGATGAAAGTGAAACAACAATGACATTCATTGGAATTTCATTTAACAGTGATGTGAATGACTTCTTTGCTAAATTGGAAAATAGATTTTGAATACAATTTTTTTTCACCATATGTAATGTAATGGCTACAGAAACAATGCACTTTTAAATTTAATCTGTATTATCATCTCTATCACTTTTTTAAGTGTAACACTCAACAATTTCTTCATCACTTTCGTACGTGTAGACAATCTTATTAACTGAACAACATCCCCTGAGTTTTGAAAAGTATTTTCATTATTATTAAGTTCAAAATATTTTATAATATTCATTGTGATTTCTTATTTATCCTAGAGATTATTTAGAAGCATATTGTTTAATTTCCTTATGCTTGGGAGTTTTCTTTCTTGATTTTTTTAGTTGACTTCCACTCTATTTAGAATGCATACTCTGCTTGATATAAATCTTTTGAAATTTGTTGAGATTTTTAAAAAAATGACCATATATATAGGTGCATGCTTCTAAAGTATAAATTCAGAAGGACCCATACTCTGCTGTGGTTGTCAATAAGATAAAGGTAAATAGAATGGTCTCTTGAGACACAAGCAGTGATACAAAAGCAAAGTAATAAAGAAGAAAAAATTGTTAAGAAATACTAAGTAATAAAATGGCATGATTTAAGACACAGCATATGATTTGGGCACCACTTTTATCATGAGAATTCTCTTATTTCTTTATTTTAGATCCAATACTAAAATCAAAACTACACAATTTTCAGATATGCACAATTAAATGTATGTGCATTATATGTATATAAAATCAAATGTACATTTGTTTCCCATTTATTTGGTACAGATATGTCATATCAGTAATAATGAAAATAATAAAGAAATTTAAAGTGTCATTTATAGGTACAGATAAAGAAACAGTTTCAGAGAAATGAAAATATTGGCCACAGTCAGTAAGTTCTAGAACTGGGACTGGAACATAGTTTTTTCCCTGACTGCAAATTTAATTTTTTGCTGTTGATCCATGGTCAAAGAATAGTTTTCCCCCAGGCTTTTCTTTTCTTTTTTTAAATAAATTTATTTATTTTTATTTATTTTTGGCTGCGTTGGGTCTTCGTTGCTGCGTGCAGGCTTTCTCTAGTTGTGGAGAGCAGGGGCTACTCTTCATTGCTATGCACGGGCTTCTCATTGCGGCGGCTTCTCTTGTTGTGGAGCATGGGCTCCAGGTGCAAGGGCTTCAGTAGTTGTAGCACGTGGGCTCAGTAGTTGTGGCTCGTGGGCTCTAGAGTGCAGGGTCAGTAGTTGTGGCGCATGGGCTTGGTTGCTCCGTGGCATGTGGGATCCTCCCGGACCAGGGCTTGAATCTGTGTCCCCAGCATTGGCAGGCGGATTCCTAACCACTGTACCACCAGGGAAGCCCAAGAATGGTTTTCATAATTGGCAGGTAGCCCCCAATATATTCAGTTTTTCCTCCAACCTTTTCTAACACCAGATTTGATGTGCTCTGACTCTCTCATTTCTTGATAGCCAGACTGCCTTCACTAAAAGTCAATATCCCTTAGTCCCTAAAAAAAAAATTCAATGCTAATTTATTCTAGTCCAGTTTGAACAATGAAGTTTACAATGAAAAATATTTTAGTGTAGTGTCAGCTGTTTTTTTCCCCCTTAAACCTGAAAATATGCTAATAAGTATTATTTCAGAGTATTTCTCATTCTAATGCTGAAGTTACACTATGGCATACATCAGCTCTTTGCTAGGCACTTCCATGATTCTGAGGCCTTGTAATGGGTTTAACATACAATGACTGGATGTCTCACACTATATAAGATACATCTCCTCCCCTCTCCATTTTTACCTTTTTGTCCCTTTTATTTTGTGTTTCCTAAAATGACTGCATTTGTACATTCTGTCCTACAGAGGATCCAACTCGTTCCCTTAACCATTATTTCCTTATTTCTTCAGACTCCTTCCTTATTACCCTCTTTCCTCTCTCTCTCTTGGCCTCTGTTAGCCCTCCATCAGAGAACCCTGAGGTGACCAGCACCTGTCAGCTTAAAACCTTGGCTATGGCAAAGGCCAAGTGTCCTTTCCCTGGAGAATGAAGAATATGAGATAGTCCTTTTCTCAGAACAAATGATCTTCCCTGTTGGGCCCCCTTCTCTTCTAGAGCATCCAGGCTCTCTATGCTCAGCACTGCTTCTCTCTACCAGAACACACAAGATTTACCAGGTCCAGCATTTGAAATTCACAAAATAAAAATGCCAGATATCTCTGGGATCAAATCAAGGGGCACAGTTGCTGTTGTGTCAGCTCTAGGCAAGTGTATTTTAGGGAGATGGATTTCTAGAACCCAACCTGAAAATAAGTCAACAGGGAAATTTTGACCCTATTGCCACAAAGAATGTATAGGGATCCCAAGTGCAGTTCTGGATACTTGCAGGAGCCCCATTCTTCCTCCTTTCAGAGAGTTTTGTACTCTAGCACACAGCATGCCACTCTCCCCATTTAAACATGACTGACTCATTTACCAAAGCCCTAGTGCAAATGCTATTTGCCCCCACCTTTGACAAACAAATAAAATGAAATAACATATTAAGTGCAAATATAGGCAAGAGGTGTGGTATCCATCGCAACCCTGCTGCTTGAGAGACTCCACCTAAAACAGGATAGCCGTATGCTCCAGTCAGCGTGTCTATTTCAAGATCAGAATGGAGTCCTGAGATCTCTCCCATCCAATCTGTTAGCTGATTACAGCCGCTGATTCATGTCCCTATGGAAATGAAGGTGCCCTACTCGGGGGGCATGCTATTTCCACACTCTACTATGGCCCCACCTGACAGACACCGTGGTTCTATGCTAGATGCTCATGGGATGTCACCTAACGTTTCAGGTTCTGGATGTCAGGGCTGTAGCTTATCTCAGTTGTTATATCCCATGGTCCAAGGTGAAATACACCTCCTGGAGATCTTAATCAGAGACATTTCTAGGTAGTTAGAAGAAATCAGTAAATTTATCTTTCTGCTCAGGAGTAGTGTCATTTTCCCGTTCTCTTCTTTATGAAAAGATGTGCAATAGAAATAGATATGAAAAAATTATAGATTTTGCAGGATCATGTACAAAAATATTTCTACTATAGCTAAATCTCAAACTATGGCCATGTGGCTCTTGAGAACTCTAATAGTGTATACAGGGCAATGTTTTCATTAAATGTGAACATTTGCATTCTGATCATAAACATTTTCATTTTATACATATTGCATGTCACAATAGTGATTTAGGCCCAGTTAAATTTTAAATTAGGGACACTTGCGTTCAAGGAAGTCTTTAATTAAAGTAATAAAATCATTCTTTTTCCAAAATATGAATGCTAATTTATTACTTTCTTTCTTTCCTTGAAACTTATATGCTAGCTGTTACTTTTAGTTACAGATATTTCATAATTTCTCACTAGTATGAAAGTATACACATGTCTGGACAAACCAGAGTATCTTTGTATATAGCATGAAGTTAGTTAAGATGATAAGAAAATACACACTATCTTGTACATGTATGTGACATATCTTGTATATATGTGACATATCTTTTAGATATTGATATTCTCAGTCAAGAACATCCAGGGAGACAGTTTATACAGTGGTTAAAAAAAGGGTTTTGAATTCAGATACTATTTTATTACCAACTAGCTGTGTGAATTTGCCCTGTTTTCTTTAGGATATCTCTACTAAGATACAGAAAGGTCAACTGATATCTCAAATTAGATGTAAATCATAGCCCACAGAGCTGGAAGGCACCATCTGGTCTAGTCTTACACAGGCAGGAAAACATAGAGCTAATTGTCACATTCTCCAGTCTTCCTCTCCCCAACTGAAAGTCCCTAATAAAACTTTTGATTATTTCCAGACTTTGTTATTTCCTTTCCATATTTGTGACCCTGGAGTCATCTTTGACTCCTTTTTCCTTTGCCTCCTACTTCTTATTGTTGAGACTTTTTGATTGGCCACATTCTTTGCCTCATTAAAAACAAATGTTCATCTATTTCTTAAAACTGGACTCTGGTTATGCCAAACACAACTTGGTTTTGAAAATATCTCAGAGGCAGGTATCTTAACCCTCTAAATTATTTCAAATTTTCCACAGATATTAATATAGGTAGCTCATCAAAGCGGATGGTCAGTAAGTGCTCAATTGATAGTTACAAGAGATGTCCATTTTTCTTCACTGTAGCTTGGTGTACCCTTAATCTGCATTGCAGAGATTAATTCATTTGGAAAGCTTTTAAAAAAATCAAATACTTAAAACACATCAATACTACTCATTTTCTTTGCCATTTGCTGCTGTTTAAGATATGTGGACATTTGGGGATTGGAAAACAGCTCTAAAAGCCACAAAGAGGTTATGAATGTTGACAACATTGAATCCTTCTGAAAAATAAGCACCTGCTCTTCTTATTTACAATAATAACAAATGTCTGGTCTTTGTACCGGTCAAAGAGGTTTTCTAGATTTTACAAAAGGTAATTATTTGATATTAAGACTGTAGCTATCTTTGAACATTGGTAATAAGATCTTAATCAAATATTGGGGGCTTCTGATACTATGATAATATCTTGCCTAAATATTAATGGAGAAAGTTTAGGTAGTAAGAAAGGCTTCACTGCAGTATACACCCACATGTTATAGCCATGTTTTCACTTGCAGTGAGCATGAGGAACAAGTCTATGATAACATCCAGATTGCCACAAAATTATTTTATATACTTAATTATGATGTGTTTCAAAATTATATTTCAGTTAACCACTGAGGTAAAAAGCTCATTAAATCATATTAAAAATTTAGTAAAATAGAAAGCAAATAATGCTAGCTGTTTACATACATGCCTGCCATCCATATGAAGTTGTGAGCATCTTGTTAGCAGGAATTATTTTTTTTAAATGGCATTTTCAATGCTTACCCTAGTATTTGGCCCATAATAGGTGTTAAATAATGAATGAATGAGTGCCTGATTTATATAACCCTGAACACATACATGCTTTGGGGACCTATAAGGGAAATATGTTATTAACTACTACCCAAGTGAAGCATAATTCAGGTAAAAATTCTAGAGCTGCATCACCCAATAAGGTAGCCACTAGACATATGTGGCTATTTACATTTAAATTAAAGTTAACAGAGATAAAATGAAATAAAAGTTTCAGTTCCTCAGTGGCATAAACCATATTTTAAGTGCTCAAAAGTCAAATGAGGCTAGGGACTACCATACTGGATAGAGCAGACATCAAACATTTCCTTCATTGCAGAAAGTTCCACTGGATGTCACTCTTCTAGAGAGTGTGGTATTTTCTTCATATGATAAAAAACAAAATCTCGCCATGCCAGTATGTAAATTCTAATGTACTCAAATGGTTTTGCAAATATGAATACCCTCAACTTCAAGGAGTCTTGGGAAGGCCCCACCTACCATATATTTATCAATCTGTAGATTTTTAATAGTCTTATCATTCTCAATGGCTCATTAAGAGTTTTAAATTAAATTCAAAAGGCTGTGGAGAAAAATAAAAAAACACCTTAAACAAGTGGGTGTCACACTTGTGCTTGCTAAATAATCAGATCCAAGATCCTAGCTGCCAGGTCCTGATCTGATAGGTCTGAGGTATCTTAATGAAAATACATTATTAGACCTCCCCAGGTGATTTTGATGCACATGGCCCAAAGGCCAAGTACTGCAAAATTTGGCCTAAGAATTCCAAGGATTATATTCTTGCTTTATATATTAAAAAAACATGTACTGACTCTGTCTATGTAATGGGCCCTATTCTAGGCAGCAGGGCTGTAAAGACAGAGAAAGAGAAGACACCAATGCAGAAGGTATTAATGAGTGGCGCCTTTTGCAAACTTGTTCCTCTACCAATCATAGGAACCCTGACCACCACTTCCTGTCCAAGCCTGTCCCCAGGTGGAATCTGGCTTGTCTTCGTCTGTATGCAAAGAAGAGTCTAAGAAGGACTTGACAGTAGCAGCAGAAGTAGTAGCAGTAGAGGACAGAGCAAGAGAAGAAGAAGGTGGAAGCAGAGGAGAAAGCAGAGGGGGAGGAGGAAGAGGAGGAGGAGGGGAGACAAAGGGAGAAGGAAGAAGGAGAGAAGAGAATGGGCTTGAGAGATAGAAAGAAAGGAAACTTGATGACTGGATGTTAGGCAGGGCAATAAACAAGAGAAAAAAGTCTGGGATGGCGTTTAGCTTTCCGGCTAAGGTTGGTAGATACTAGGACCATTCATTTAAACAGGGAATACAGAAAGAATGGCAATTTGGGGGAAAAGAAGATGTTTCATTTTTGATATATTGAAACAGTATGCTGCCTCTGGCACTTGAAAGTAGAGACATTTAGAAGGTAACTGGGAATACAGTTTTAGATCTTTAAAGATAAAGATTTGGGATGTACCAGTGTCACATGAAACCACAGGAGTGAATGAAATCATATAGAAGAATGAAATCATACTGTAGAGAGAAAAGAGAAGGCTCAGAAAGTTGGGAATTTGGTGGACATAAATATTTTAGGCAGTGATTCTTAACTATTTGGATTGATGACCTTTCTGAAAGTCAGATGACTTCTAGAAAATGCCAAATTTCACAGACTTACAAAATTTTGTAGTTTCCAAGGTGTTGAGACCCCTATTGTGAACTCCCACAGATTTCAGATTTCAGGTTTTAAATGGTGAAAGAAGAAGGGAAGCCTGTGAAGAACAGTGAGAAGGGAGCCAGATAGGAAAACCAGATTTCATGGAGATGTATTCATCTGACCTAATGTAACAGTAGATATAAACCTTTTAAATGAATAACCTCTTCTCTTATATTCCTGTTTGGAAAATCAGGAAAGCAAGAATATACATTTAGAAGTAATTTATTGAATTCCTTTTTTCTTTATAGCCCCTCAGAGCTAGCAATTGAATTCTCTCTCCATTATTCTTTGGGTTTTCTTTCTTTGACTCTTAGAAACCATGGCTTAGTTAACTCAAGAAAGAATTTCTTAGAGTATATGAACAATCCCACAATTATATTCTCTTCCACACAGGTATAAAATAGGAGTAGAGGAAGGCTATCATGCATTTGTGTTTCACTGGGATCCCTGCCTTTTACATCACACTCACCTACAGAAGTGATGATGATGGTGAAATGAGTTTCATCTCGCCTCCCAGTTACATTGTTGTAAGCACAGCACACATAGTCAGTTGTCTTCTGGGCTATTTTCTCAGATGCGACTTCCAAGCGAGGCCCGTGCTTAATGACATAAGTGACATTGTCTGTCCTCCGGATCCAGGAGTAGGTGTTGGGAGGATAAGAATCAGCAGAACAATCAAACAAGATCGCTTCTCCAATATCCACAGTGAACACTTCCCCTACTTTTAGCCCTTTATCAGAATTAACTTGAAGTCCATAAGGTCCATCTACATTAATTGAAAAAAGAAATAAAGGGGTGACATAAATAATTACAACATAGTTTTTGAGTTTGGGAGAGCTTAGCAGCATTTTATTTTCCATGAAAGTCCTCATGTTAAACGTGGGAAATAGGTCTTCATTTAGACTCCCAGTAAATGATAAGGACCTAAAAGTGTTTTATTCTGGTATCCATGGAAATGGAAATAATTTGAGATGTGAACTTATCTGAAATAGTGTAAGCCCTAAAACTTAGGATATAATTTTATAGACACTGTTATCATGATTGTGGTGCTAAGCTTTTGAGTCATGTATAGATAAATCTGCAATCTTGTTAGACAAATTCCATCTTTCTGAAACTGCAGTTGTACTTAAAAGCATTTTAAAAATAGATTATGGCCACTATTTTCTCTTTGACAACCTTTCTTTGAGTATTATCTACTTTTCTTCTAAGTGCTGGGACAGTTCATGCAAATATTTATGTTACACAGTTTCACATAGAACACAAATTTGTGTAAAAAGATATAGGAGTATTCCATATTTTCATGACATTTTAAGAGTTTAAAGAATTAAAAAAATTCCTCCCACAAGTTAAGCACAGATTCCATTTGGAAAAAATACATCTTCATTATCATCAACAAATATTCATTGATCATCAATAAACTACTTAATCATGGATATCCCCTGGTATTTTTCCTTACACTGCAATATTCCTGTAGTAGCTTGCTATTTCTATGGCACAAGATTGCCTGCAGATAAAGACACATTTCCCACTGATTTCTTCAGAGAACATATAAAAAGAGATTTAAAAAATATTCCCCAGCTAGATAGGTTTCTCTCATTCAGTATATATCCTGACTTATATTCTAAAAACTTTAAGGTTTAGGCATTATTGTGCTCATTTTTCAGCTGACCATAAACAATATTTGTTGGATATTCACCATCTGAAGACACTTTAAGTACTTATGCAGACAACCACATTTAATCTTTAAAGCAACCGCATAAGGTAAATGTTATTATTCCCATTATAACGTGAAGGAAGAGATATTTAAAATATTAATTTTCCCATGGTCACATAGCTATTAAATAGCAGCTCTGGGACTACAAAATATATGTATTTAATTATTCATATTACCTCTCCAAAAAAACTGTTAAGTGGTATAACTTTCTATATCAAAATAGTTTCTGCTTTTCTAACTGTATTATTTGTTCTACAATAAATTGCTGTCTAATTATACATTAATTCTGTACTCAGTTAATCAAGTAATCAATCAAAAAATACTTGTTTGAGAGATACTAAGTGTTACATAATATATTTAATATGTGAGAGATAAAAAATGTGTAAGAGAGATAAAAAGTGTGTAAGACACAGTTCCTACTCTCAAGGAATTTATAAACTGGATAAGGCTATGGATGGATTGCTCATAAATAACCTAATCTCAAAGGTGCTGATTTTAAAAAAAGTAACGACTGTTCATCTCTCATTGTGTGGAATAATATAATGTAGTGATTAGACAGTAGGATAATGAGGTTAAATCCCAATTTTGTCAATGATTAGTAAAGTGTTCTTCAAAAGTCATTTAAACTTCTGGGGTCTCACTTTCCTCACCTTTACTATAAAAAGATTGATTAGATGACTGGTTGCCAATTGTGCTACCTTTGAAACACCATGATTCATGCCATGCTAAAGTTATTTTGGATACTGGCAAGCCAACCCCAAATCTGCAGATTCCCAGAATGGTTCTCCATTATGTCAGCATATTCTGACCAATCTGCCATTGGGGAGACAAATTTCCCAAGATACAACAGAAACTGAAGGTGCAAAACAATAAATTATATTTAGCTAGAGGACATACACTTTACACATATTTACTTCCTAAAGACACAGAGGCATCTGAAGGAAACCTGTAGATTTATACGAATATGTATACATGAGATGATCCTGCTTTCAGAAAGCAAACATAGAAGTACCTTCAAATTCGAAGTAATCAGGAACTGGAGATGGAGCATTAAAGTGAAGAGAAATGAATGCCCCTTTCCTGTGACTGAACTAGAACCCTGTCGTACTGTTTTCTCATTTCAGGCTGTGATACGGTCTCAGGGGAAAACCTCTGCTTTACAACTGTGTGTTGTAAAATAAAACACTCTTATTCTGAATTACATTGAATAATATCGTGTAATGGGAATGAAAAGTTGTTTTCACTCACTCAACCAAAATCAATATTGAGATGCTACTGTGCGCATGATACTGTTCTAGGCATTGTGAGGAGACCTGAGGTGTTGTATACTGGCTCCTGTTGCTATTATCTCAGACCCAGTGCAGCAACAGGGTTCCCTCAAGTTGTCAGCATTGATAGAACATTAGGGAAGCAAAGGCCACCGACTGGTGGGCACTGGTTATGGTTCCCATAGTAGGAAACCAATGGGAGGAATCAACAGAGGTTTGGAGCAGCAAAAGCCCCGAGTCTGTCACAAAGGTTAAAGTCTGAGAGCAGAGAGGCAGGCTTGAAAAGAAAGAGAAGTGTGGTCATTCAGTATTTTCTGTTTTCCCACTTGTTTTCAGGGTTTATAGAATGTGAGTATAAAAACAAATTGTTTGACAATTTAACACACATAAAAATGAGAAATACTGCTTTCAAAGTGTGCTGACATTACTCAAAACTTTTTGGGGAACTTCCCATTTGGAATTGCTTTAGGACCTTGCAACATAATGGAATATTCTCAAAAGTAGTAATTCTTCCATTTTGGAGAGTTGGTTCCATTTGCAGAGAAAGCCCACAGTAATTTAGAGCCAAGCCTGGTGAATAAGGTTGATTATCTAATTTAATGATCACTCTAGTTTAAAATAAAACATGTTTTTAAAGAAAGGAATCTGATTGTCTTAGTTCCTCTTCCCTATACTCATGTTTATTTTGATTTTGCTACTTCCTCATTTATTGGGTTTCATGATTGGCATAATATTTTCTCTCCTGTCTGCTTAATTATATGCTATATGTGGCTCTTTGGAGTCAGCATCAAATACCTCAAACTCCCCCGGCCACCACACAAGCACTTCTTCCAGTTCCTGGAACCTAACACCTTGAAGAATTTAAGTTCCTTCCTTCTGATATGATTTCTTAAAATGTAGCATATTTTATCTGATTTTATAAGAAATACATGTTCACTGCAGAAAATCCTAAAATTCCAGAGAAGGATGAAGATGAAAACTCACTTGTTTTCATCTCAGAGAATGAATATCCATATTTCAGTATATGATCTTTAAGCCTTTTCTCTCTCTCTCTCTCTCTCTCTCTCTCTCTCCCTCTCTCTCTCTCTCTCCCTCTCTCTCTCTCTCTCTCTCTCTCTCTCACACACACACACACACACACACGGATTGATCTATCATCTATTTATCATCTATCTATCTATCTATCTATCATCTATCTATCTGTCTATCTGTCTATCACACTCTACCTACAGCTTACAATCTATTTTCTTCTTCCTATACTATGATGTTATTTCCTTCTCATTAGCACGTCAGGCTGACCATCCTTTACTTTGAAGTGCAGCCTAGTATATTATTCATGGGAATGAGCAATCCAATTGAAGACATTTGGAGTGATTCAACCAGTGTGGCCTCTGACATTGAAGATGAAAGCAGTAGGATAATTCTATTTTGACTGTGGTTCAGTTTCTTGCCCTTGGCAGAGAACTCCCAATAGAAGTGAACCATTTGCCTCAGGAATGGCTGTTTACTGAGTGACTTGTAAAATACATATCATCTGTTCTCTTTAACAATTTATGGCTGGGCAGGAACAGTACCTAAATTTCCATCATGATGCTGCTTGCCACCCTGCTTGGGAGCAGATGGTAAGTATTTACTGTGAATGACCTTTTTTTCTTTAATTTTTATCACTTAGAGCACTTCCCTGCAGCAGTGCCATATGTTGCACACAAAATACATCAGTTACTGGGTTATTATTTACAACAGAGCTGGAAGGCATACACATTTCATGAACTGCAAGTAGCTACTAGCCTGAATTACTGGCTTGACATTGTATTCCACCAAGGCCAATACCAGGTTATGACATCATAACCTCATAAATATATAGTCACTCTTGATTTTGTTATACTTTTTCTGCCAAAATAAAAAATAATTCCTGCTTTTATGAAGGAAATTGTCATAGAAACAGTGCCTTAAGAAAATAGAAGAGGTGATTCATGCTGAAATTCTCAATGATGATGTGGTCCTCTACAGGGGAATATTGGAATATAACATTTACTACATTACTGAGGAACTTTGCTAAAGGTCAGAAAAAACAAAAACAAAGCAAAACATAACAACGAAGTGCCAGAGCACTATAACTAAGAAGCTGTTATAATGGGAATTTAGCCTTCCTACAGCTTCATCAAGTAACACTGAAATCTGAAAGGGATATGAAGAAAGATAATCTGGTCCATTTTAGCCAAATTCAAGAAACCCCTATTGAATTCTTAATCTGTGTCAAGTATTGCCTTAGGGATACAAAGATGACTAACACGGAACTCCTATTTTGGCCTGAGGTGCTTATGAGTGGAAGAGACTCAAGGAAACATGATGCAATGAGTTCCAGGGGAGAGATGTGCGTGGGATGCTGCAGGAGCACAGCAAACCTCTTAGTGACACTGAAGACCTGAGACCAGGTTGGGGGCAGGTGAGCCTTTCTGGAGAAGATGATATTGTGAAGGAAAAGGAGGGTATAACCAGGTGAAGAAAGAGAAGTGGGAACATCAACTAAGGCACATATTCTCAGTTTGCATGGAATAATAAAGATTGAAAGCATGTTGATGCTGTATCAATAGGGTAAATGACAGTTCTTCAGATTACATATTTTATTTAATTCTTGTAACCCCAAACCAAAACCAACAAAACAAAAACAAACAACAAAATGGCTAGAACTGTGACAGTAAAAAAAAAATAATGAATCTGGGTTGTGTTTCTGTATGTTACATGGGTAAAAACTGCTTAGCACAAACAAGACCATGATGTTTG